CCTCTAAGTCGGCATGAACTTACCCAAATATTTTCATCACTCAGAGAAGAGGTCCTAAGTGTTTCTGCTTCCCCTTGACATGATATCAGATTCTATACTGGTTGTCAAGTACACTGCCAATGGGGCACAACTAGTTAAGACCTGAAGTTGGTAGGAAGTGAATAATTTCCGATTTAAGAAACAAGAAATAGGTAAATAATGCTTTGAAAGATACATATTCCGCTCGCTGAGGCCTCCAAACCCTGTTTATGTGGATAGAAAGGAAAGATAATGCATGTCTTAGTCCAATGTTCGACTCAAAAAAGATACTACCTATGTTATTGGCTCGAAACCCCCACAATGCGCAGAGGAGCACATGAGAAACGGGTGGGACAAGGCCTGTTAGAAATCAGCATTTAAGCCGCAGGTTTCTGGTGACTTGTTAATCTATTTAACCGCACGATTGAGGCTGTTAGGGTCGCAAAGTCTCCCCTTCTGATAGAGCTTAAATCTGACGTTTTCCGCGACGACGAGAGCTTCTACGGAATCAAAACACTTTTACCACGTCCTAATATGGCTGTAAGCAACGCTCAACTTGCAGTCAACGCCAAAAAGAAAAAGCTCACACATCACAGTCGACAGTTCCCCAGGTCGTTCTCTTCGGAGACTCTTTGTTCCAACAATGCTCAGATATCCAGGACGGCTTCTCTTTCCAAGCTGCTCTCCAGTCTGGTGAGAATCCAACATAAGTGACCGCATAGGAAGCGGCCTGACTTGCTGCAGATTTCATTCGACGTTTGGATATTGTGAACCGGGGATACTCGGGTTTCAACACCGACATCGCTCTGAGATATCTCCCTGAAATCTTCCCGGAACGAACAGCCTCATCACCTAAGATGGACTATCTGGTACGGTGCCGCCATATGAAGCGAAGAATGCGTAGCTAAAAATGAACAGGTTCTCCTGTTTGGCGCAAATGATGCTGTGCTTCCTGGCGCTATCACCAAGCAGCATGTTCCTATAGATCGGTACAAGGAAAACCTCACTAAGATCATCAACCACCCGCGCATCGCTGCTCACAAGCCCCAGATTCTGCTGGTGACGCCCCCTCCCCTGGATGAGATCAAGACGACCCCTCGATCGATCGAGAGTGGCCACCAAGGAGCAGTTCGCAAGTCGGCCATTAGCGCTGCCTACTCCAAGGTGGCTCGTGAGGTCGCGCGAGAGAATCCTGGAGTTATTCTGGTTGACCTTTGGAAGGCCCAGATGGACAAGGCCATCTCCCTTACTCCTGACGATTACACCCCTGGTGGACCATGGCTAGGCGACCCCGAGAACGGTAAGCAGGGTGGCCTGGATACTCTCCTTCACGACGGGCTCCATATGAGCGGATCTGGTTATCAGGTATTCTATGAGAGCCTTAAGCCATTTATCGGCAAGGAGTGGCACGGCCTCGCGGACGATGATCGCAAAGGGTTTGTGATACCAGATTGGCGAGAGCTGCTGGAGCTCAAGCCCAATCTGAACACTGGCGATTAGATGGGATGCAGATTATGACATTTGACATCAGAGGCACTGATTGAGTACAAAGTGTCTAGATGTACGCGTTGCGCAGAGTTTCTTGTGTCTTTGATCCAACGTTCCAGCAATGAAGTGTGAGCGAGGCTTGAGGTATGCCAAGACAATTTCACCCACTACCTTACTTAAGTACTGCATAGGTGACGACGGTTCGAGGCACTGGAACCCGTAGACCTCCAATCGTATTCCCCTTAGTGGCTAGCCCCCCTGACGTTTAATGCTTACAGTGGGTTACTTCAACACGCCACAGGCGCTAGAAGAACCGCCACGTTAGCGCGTTGTCTCAACTACCTACTCAGGCCTCGAGTTGCTCCCATCCGTTTCTTGAATTCAATCCACACCAGCGCCATCTGAATATCCTTTCGGACTTCAACCTTTGATAATTCTCCTGTTTTCAACTCCTGACGTACCTCTACGACCTCGAATACGCCTCAAGATTCCCCTCAAGCTGAAGAACACACGGTGTCGACTGTTACCCCTCCGTAAAAGCCACCCACGATCCCAGCTGCTTTCAACCTCTCGCCCGCTTTACACCATTCATTTACACCTAACTTCGATCCCTATCGTTCATATCAGGATCGGCCTATGTCAAATCTGGCCAATTTCCTACTTTCCATCTCTCATCAACTGTGACGCCTATATTCTTAGCCCTCTTCAAATACGATAGTTGCTTCCGTCAGTAGCTTGCCTCGCAACACTCACCAATAAACGAGCACGCCTCGCCGATCGTCACGTCCACAACTATCACGACCCTAAGTCGCACTCTCGACCTGGGCACCTTTTTAATCGACCCTTGAATACCAAATATACGTCAAGCTACTTACCAGCCGCTCATTTGAGGCTACTACTCACCACGGCCAGGCGATTATCGAGATCGCACTCTGCTTGTCAAGGGCCCTGTGGTCTACACTAGGCGATGCGGCGGGGAGGGAGGACCTCGTGAACTAAATCTTAACTGGGGATCGAGGTCGGAAGTACCAATTGTTTTTATTGTCGAAAAACTTGTGCTGGATCAAAGCTCATGCTGTACGATTGATGCCATTGTCTGTTCTGCCCTTCTCTACTAGCGCCTCCAAATCCCCCTCGTCTCTCGATTTCCCTCTCCCTATCCTTGTTAGTCGAGCCACCAGCCCTCGATCTGCAGTCAATCGGCATTCTATACACCTGGAATTGGAGCCTTGTTGTCCAATCAGACCTGACCTGGGGATGGATCCTAGATTTCCAGTCTCTCGCGAAGATCTGTACAGTCTGCAGATGGAAGTGAAGCAAGTGCAATATACTCAGAGCAATCATGCTGAACGGCTTCTTCGATTGGAAAAGAAACAGGCCGATGATGCCGCATTGAAGTCTGTCTGGAACTCTCCCTTTCCAGGTGTCTTGAGTGGCACACCTCAGACAGGTGAGTTCTCAGCGTGTTGACATTTCGATCATTCCCTTACAAATTTTAGGACCTGTTTCCATTCCACACAATGACATGTTTGATGACTTGGATGAGCAAGGTGAGGAGCTTCTAGGATCTCTTCATCTTGGACCAGCAGAGGAAGAGCCGGTTCGCCGAGGCGCTGCTTCGCGGGCTAATAGTGTTCGATTCGACGAAAGCGCCCTGCACGGATCGAGTTGGGGAGGCCCAAGCAATCGTCACTCTGGAGACTTTGGCCCTGTTCGTCCCGGAAGTGGCCTTATGATGGAGCGATCATTATCTCACAAGTCGGATGGACGACACAGTTCTGCTGGACATTCAGTCCACTCTCACCACTCCATTGCTTCTGGCCGGGCTAGCAGCTTAGGCCTTGATAATAACTTTGCTGTTGGCGACGACGACGACGATTCGTTCGACATTCCTGGTCCCCCTGCGGCGTTTTATGTCCTCGGGACGGTCCCTTCGATCGTTCGATGTTGGTTAACCACCAACTTTGGCCACTCAACACTCCTCTACGCCGACGTTTGCAGTGGCTCGCAAAAGTCCACGGTTGAGTATTCTCTCCTCAGAGAGTTGGATCTTGTTGATAAGATCCATCGCGAGGTTGACGGTGCATATCGCGTTAGGTTAAATGTCTACTTTGCAGAGGCTGTGGTGACGCATCATGGCAGTCGTTCTAGTAGCCCTCATGGGCCTGTCCCTTCAATCACGGTCTTTTTCGAGGTCCTTGGAGTGACAGAGCAGCCTACTCAGGCCGTAGATCGCAAAGCCATTCGAATTTACTTGGGTAGCGATGCTCTCAGAGCCCATTCCGCAGATATTCTATTTTCCCAGAATACTATGACCCTTCGTGGCGACGAGCGAGAGCGACTTCAGGTCCCCTTTGTCCGACCAGAGGATGAAAACGTGTTTCGGAATATTTGCACTACCAACATGGTCCCAGAGAAGCCCAAGTTGAATGCAAATGCTGCTCCTTTCATCTCTGGGGATTTCAGCCAGGCTAGCCAGGAGAGTAATCCTGACACGGAGGCTCCTCAGCAGGATTATGAGTCTCGAAGCGAAATGTCGCCAATGGCAATTGACGCGGTTCTCCATAAGCGACCTAGTTCCAGAGGCAGTGTGTCCGGTGCGGAGAGTGAGAGAAGGTCTCGTGGACTCACCAACGGAGACCAACTAGGTCCTAAGGAGCGTGCTGCTGAGCATTCTGCCCCCGAGGGCTCCAGGCGAGAACCACTTTCAGGGATTTGGGGATCATGGCGCCATGGATCAGGGAATGGAGTGGACGGCCTGCACAGAGATGGTTCATTGAGTGGCTATCAACCTGCCGGCCGAGGCCGCAACATGAAAGTTCTGAAGCCCCAGAAGTCGGCCACGAGGCCAGTTTCTTCTTATGATGCCTCTTCGTCCAAAGGCCAGGGAGATGGTCGACGCAAGAGTCAAGTCGGCGTTGGGGAGAACGGTGGCACTCCTGCCAATCGATGGGAGGCTAAGCGTGCGGTGAGTATGAGCAGCGAACACAAAGCGCAATCGCAGACACAGTCGCTTCCACCTCCAAGTCGTGATGGTCGCAGCGCCAACGCCAACGCCAATAGCAACAATTCCCTGCCTAGGTCTGCCAACCCTGTCGGAGTTGCTTCAGCGTTCTCATGGATGACACCAACATCCAAAGCCAAAACAACCGCGGGCTCAGAGTAATGTGTTTGGATGGCTTGCCAGTGGCCATTCCTTTTTCTATCAGCCGTGTAGACTTTCAGGTCCCTTGGAGTTCATTCTTTGGTCTATGGAGACCATAAATGGGCAGACTCGAAGAAGTGCAGAATTGCAATGACCCGGTCATTCAGGATCCTTAAACAGGATTGATAACGACGAACAAAACGAAACGCAACAGAAAGTAAGAAAACAAATAGAGGCAAAGGCGATTTGATGCTTTGCTAGAAAAGAAAAGAAGAGAAATTGACAGCAGTGATGTTTGTACTATGCAAATGTATGTCTAATCTATCATTAAATAAGTATGTCACTACGCCTATATCTTGGAACCAGGAGGCAAGGCTTGCCAAACCTTTCTGGTGTCTGCAATTGACTCCTTGACAACACCAATCAGTCCCTTGAAAGCAGGATGTTGCGAATCTCCCACGCATTCATACATCCAGCTCTCGCTCGACGTGACCGTGATTCCGGGCTCGGCACGCAATCGATCGAGGGCAATTTCGACCTCGCGAGGATTACAGCTGGATACTCCATCAGCAATGACATACACCTTATGCCCTGCGTCGCGCAAATCGAGCGCTGTCTGGGTAATGCAGATATGAGACTCAATGCCGACAAGAGCGATTTCGGAGCCCTGAGGTAGATCGACGGTGATGGAGGGAATGGACATGGAGAAACGTGTCTTGTCGTGTGGTGACGAGGGGAGGAGCTGCGCCAGAGCTGAGACTGTGGGACCAAGCTTGGCTGAGGTTTGGGTCGTGGTTACGACGGGAACGGAGAGAGTGTTTGCGAATTTGAGGAGCTTTTGGGTGGTGAGGACGCTGAGGTTGATTAGCTGAGTGGCGTCGAATGAACCTGGGCTGCCATACATGCTATCGAATTCGTGAATGACATGGCGAAACTTTTCTTGAATATCGCAAACGCTAAACCACTCTTGATTAGATGTTTCTCTCAGATCGAAGGTACTGTAATGATACATACAAGATCCTTGGGTTCTCTGACCGCCGCAAGTCAGCATCTCTCTTCTTTGTAGACTATGTGGCCCATATCAGATCATAGGTAGTACTAGGAAAGGTACTTACTGAACCGCAGCTCGTTTTGCGCTGGGGATGACATGGCGCGAATCTGGTGCAACGTAGAGCCAGGAGCAGGACGAGACACGGCAGTGCCTTCTAGAGATGTGCTAGCCAATCTCGATGTTGCTGAATTACTGATACTTGCTGCCGCAGCCCGCGAACCTATAGCCAACCGAGATAATCCACGTCGAGAGATGACAGTCGAGAGAACTTGCATAACGAGATCGTAAGGCCAAGATCGAGGGAGGACTCACTCATCAAACCAAGAAAATGAACGGAAGAGATGAACGTACAGATTAGGTAAGTTCCAGTCTTTGGTTGATGTGATCTCAATACCAAGGAAAATAAAATAAAATCGGGATCTGAGACATTTGGAGGTGGTTGAGTTCGAGAAGGGTGGCTGGGGTGAGGGACGGGATAGAGGTTAGCCACAGCGCGGGGGAACGGCAGTGGAAAGTGTGGGGGGGGGGGGGGGGGGGGTTGATCGACGGGCTGTTGTTGCATTTGGTTAATTAATAGCAGAGCAGTTTACCTTTCAACCTGCTGAACCCTAAGTGCACCTGGGGTACTAACTTGGGTATAAGGGGAATAGGTAGTCTTGAAGACAGTGACCTCAGGCCCCAAATACCATGGAGAGTCATTGTCGATAAGGTCATTTGTCTCTCATCAGATCCATTGTATTCACAATTTGGTGTTGAACAAGAATGAACAAGAATGACTTGTCTGAATAATCAAGTCAATCTACTGAATGTCTCTAAAGTAAAGCAATTTTGTCCACAGCCTAGTCTAAACAATGCTTGCCCCTGTTCTATAGAGAATTATTACTGCATCAGATTATGTACTCCCCGAACGCCAGTATATGCGTGCAACCATCTATCGCCAACCAATGCCTTCCCCCAGCCTGTTCAGAGAAACCATCTTTCTCCTAGGCGTTAACTTCAGCAAACCATGTTCGTAAGAGACCAGCCAGGGCGCTTGGCAGCTCTTCAAGATGATGGACGATTAGGTAGTACTGGAATGGGAACGTGTCCAAGTATCTTTCGATGACGACCTTGCTTTCTCCGCCGTCCCGAACAAACTTGGCCTCCTTCAGCTCAAGTACGCTGTCGCCCTTCTTCTTGCCCGTATCATCCATGATGATAAACACAATCATGATGCGCTCCTCCATCGCCTCCCGCAGCATTCGACGGATACCCTCGTGGGCTGATGAAGGCGTAAGGCCGTCCGAGAGAATCAGTGCCAATTGCCAGAGATCCGAGTTGCCGCTGCCCTGTTGTCGTGCAAGTCTGAACGTTTCGATGGTCCGTTGGATGAGAAGTGCAATGTCGGTACGATCTTGAGAAAAGTTGAACTTCTGCAACACCTTGGCTCCAGCATCTGCAGCAAAGGGTACGGTTAAGCCATGGGCTGTGAAAACGTCACTTCCAAAGCCCATGACGCCAACCTGGCCAGCTTCTAGCATGGTAAGTGATCGTGAGACCATGACGAGAGACTCCATGGCCAGAGTACCTGATGATGTTTCACCCATACTCTTACTATCATCCACACAAAGCAGTATCTGGTAGGTACGTTTAGTCGGGATGCTGCGACGCATCCAGATCTTATCCCGCTTATAGCTCGATGCAATGTAAGGGATGATGCGTTTGATGTTGAGTCGCTTCCCTGTACGGAAAGCTCCCGAGAGTTTGGTCGATTGTGAAGGGGTAAGGATAAGCCGGAGTTGGGATGTCAAAGCCAAAGAGAGTGAATGTGTTTTGGTCTGGAATTCAGCCCACTGTTGCATCGACTCGCCGAAATCTCGGAGTGGCCGTTCTTCGTCCGAGATGTGAGTTGAAGAGAGCTGAGTCGATGTCTCCTGAATCTCGACCTCATCTTCCTGTTCATCCAATTGCGCCTCCTGATCTGAAGGACTGAACTGACGGTCATAGTTGCCTTGGCGTGTCTTGACCCCTGAGCGCGTTTCGTCCTGGTCATTATCTGCATCTTGCTTACTGACATCCGGCACCTCTCCCGAATCAGCTGTGTCCATCTTATCGAGATCCTGTTCGGTCTCTTCTTTGTCATCATCCATAAGGCGGCTTGCAGGATCTTGCCTCTCCTCATCGATGGCCATAGACTCGTCGATGGGCTGTACTTGCTCATCATCCGCAGTTCCCATGGCCTGGGTGTCTGTAGCAGTCTCATCATCCTGTAAGTGCTGGAATTCCTTACGACCTTGATCGGCGCTCGGTTCTTGTGGTGCGTTCTGTTCATTGGCGTCTGAAGACTCGGCGTCCTTGATGTCTTCCTGCTGTCGATGCCAGCGTTCAAGTGCATCGCCGAGCTTCTTGAAAGGATCACTGCGTGCCGAATCCGCCTTTTCCTGTTCCTGCTCGGCCCTATCCATGATCTCCTTTGACTGCGAAGTTGATCCCTTGTTCCCTGCGCTTGTGTCCTGATCCGCAGCTCCCTCTCCCATCTCACCATCCTCCTGCTGGGCAGCGTTGCTTTGGAAGTTATCGTCGACATCCATCGAGTCAGCATTCTGATCCTGGCCAGAACTCTTGACATCGCTTGGTGCAGCGTTGTCGGTATCAGCGGTAGCGTTATCTTGAGGCGGTTGATTCTGATCTGTAGCATCCTCCTGATCCTTGTCCTCTTCGTCTTCCTCAGGTTTGGCCTCCTCGTCAACTTCATCTTTGCCACCGGCCTTTTCTTCTGGCATCTCTTCGTCTTCCTGGATTTCGGTCTCTTCTCCGGCCTCTTCTTGAAGCTGGGCTTGGGCCGCAGCGTCATCTAATTCATCTTCCTCCTCGTTACTCATCTCCTGGTCCTCTCCCTCCTTCTTCTCTTCTTCGATATCCGAAAGACCATCCAAGTCATCGCTATCTGACGCCGACTCATGATCGTCATCGAGATCCAACTCCATATCCTCAGGAAGCGCCAGTGTATCATTCTCTTGGGCGGTTTGATCTTGCTTATTCATTTCCTCTTGGGTTTTGACTTCTTCTTCTTCGGCACCAGCTTCCTCTTCTTCTGCGCCTTGTTCACCAGAGTCGTCAACATCTGGCTGATCCTCGCCCTCCTGTTTCTTCGCATCTTCATCTGCTGCCATCTGTTCGTCGTCCTTCTTCTGGCCCTTGGCCTTCTCACCCTGCTGGTCTTTATCAGCCTTTTCTTCGTCCTCTCCATCCCACATCTTCTCGTCAACGGCAGTGGGATCTAGGTCATCGACCTCTCCAGCTTCTTCATCCATATCGTTCTCCTCCTCCTCCTCATCTCCATTCTTCGAACCCTCATCATCATCATCGGCCCCATCAACACTGCCCATGTCTCCTTCGAGCTCCTCATCAGCCATATCCACCGCATCTTTTTCGTCTTCCATTTCGCCGTTCTCCTCCTTGTTTGCTTCTTGGGCAAGCTCGGACAAGTCCTCGTCAGGCTGAATGTCCTTGCTGATGTCTTCGGCCCCTTCACCATCACCAAGACCAGTTCCAGACTCCACTTTGCCAGAATCGCCAGAGGTTTCATCAGACTTTTCTTGTGGTGTACAGAACCCTTGAGAGGAAATTTGAGTGAACGTCTTGGTCATGCTATAGGACATGTGTGCTATGGCGCTGTGGATATCGACAACTTGCATCAAGGTCTGCTGAGCGAGATTAACGTATTCATTCAGGACAGGACATGCGATCGTCATGAGACTCATGGCAGCTTGGCTGAGACTCGGTTCTTCGAGATGAATCTGCTTCAACATCTTGATACAGCTGGCCACACTCCTCTCGATCTCGGTAGTACGGAGTTTTGCAAAGAGATTTACGAAGCCGTCGGCGTGACTGGTGAGCCAGGAAGGTTCGTCCTCTCTATAATCAGTTCCCTTTGCGGCTTTCTTCACGCTCTCAATTGCGACCAGGATTTTGTCGCAAAGTGTCGAGACAGCATTTGCAAAAGTGGTGATTTCCATGTCGTCAGATGTAAGGCTGGGCGCGGCTTCTCTTGTAATCTTGGTCCAGCCAACAATTTGGAGAAGAATGAAAGAGAGTTCCGGCTGCTCCGTATTCAACTCTTCGAGGTCGGCGCGGAAACTAGCCAATTCACTCGAGAAATTCGCCTCAGCACGAGCAGCTGCTTCGGAAGACACACCATCTGGAAGTGGACCGAACCCAGCACTCAGAGTATGGAGAGACTCGAATCGCCCATGCCACAACTTCAGCTGTTCTATCGCCGCCGTGTGCTTGATTTCCCCAAGCTTCTCGTGGATTTCAATCAAACGAATGGCATGCTGGAGAATCTGAACAAGCCAAGGGACAAGACGTTTCCAGTTAGAGACTGCTGTCTTACGAATGAGAAGTTCGTGCTCATCAGAAATTCCAAGGCCGCTGAATTGTTTTATGGATTGTCCAAGAAGTGATAAGGAGGAGGCACCAGATGTGATCGAATGTCTCTGAGTCAGTAAAAGGCTGAGCATTCCTTCAACAAATCCAGCACTTCGCGCAACCTCGGCACTGGTAAGATCCTCAGAATGGTCTCGAGAAGCAGCCCTGACCTTGGGGATTAAATCAAGAATCTTGTGCAAGTGATAGTCCATGGCTTCGGTAGAATTGTGCGAAGGAAGTTGCACAGGTTGTATTGACGACAACACAACTGATAGTGATGCCTGCTCCGCAAGCTTGTCCTGCCCTAGGTTGTGCTTGAAACCCATTTGCCGAAGATCGCGCAAGGTATCTGCAAACAGTTTCCTCTTTCTTGTCTTCAAATGCTTGACTTGGTCCTTGTTCTCATCGGTCAAAAACGGCGGTGTCTCTTTGCGAAGTTCCGCCATTGACTTGCTCAGGCTAGAGACGTAGTCATCAACAATTTGAGGTACCTGGCTTGTCATCTCTGGATTGTGTGAGATCTTTCGCATGACAGAGACAGTTTTAGAGACGTTGGCAAGGCGCTTGTGGCCATCGGTCCACCCTGGCAGAGCGCTGTTAAGCTTAGAAAACGCGTCCGCAGAAACATCCATAATAGGAGATCTATCTCCTACATAGTTTGCGTGGTGGACGTCTTGATCAGGTAAACCTTGTTCAATAATTTGTTTTGCTTCCTGGCCAAGAACACCGCGGAACTTTCTGATGATTCGGAAAAGCTTCTGGTGAGACTTGCGAGCACTTTCCCGGAGTGCATTGATATTTGTGTCTTTCCAGCTAGCCATTAGCAGTACATCCTTCATCTTCTTCTCAATGGGAAGGCGTCCTT